TTGTAAAATCTCGATTTTTTTTTTATTTTATTTTTTTTTTGCACGATTACAAGACTTTCTCTATACTTCATATATACGAGAAAGTAAAAAATGAAAAATATCCCTTTCAACCTCTTATTAAAATATCGCTCTTTTGGTCTGCAGGTTGTAGATGAAGCTGCGGCCGTGCTTTACCAGTGCTTAACCCTGCTCTGCTTGCTTTGTTCGTCAGCGGGTTAACAGCATCGGTATCTTTAGAGAAGGTAAGGTTATCACATCGAGATCAGTGTAAATACCCGAAAGATTGACTGAGTCATTATGTAGGCCTAATTTCTGTGGACTTTGATATAAAATTTATTTGAATGGGACTCAAGGAACGTCTGTGTAGGCCTAGGCTATCAGTATCAATAAATAATAAATCGGGTAAAACTCCATTTCAGCGTATTTTATTCTCCGTTGCTTGTTTACCTCCAGTTGAGCGTATTTTATTATAACAACCGAAACACACCAAAAACATTAGGAAAACACGATTTATTAATTGTATTGTATAATTTTTGTTTTAGCAAATGAATAAATATGAATATTTAAAAAACACGACTTGTTTATTTGTATTGTATTTTTTTTAAAAGGCATTTGTCTCATGGTGAAACTGATACACTGTTAATTATTCTGTATTATATTTTTGTATTTATGCAATAAATGTACAAACTCTGTGTTTTTTTGTTTGACAATTTCGCCAAAACTGAAAAAATATTTTTACTATAGAGTTGTATGTTATTTAAATTCATAGTAAATCTACCATCCTTCCAAATATTTTGATATATGTATCAAGTATGATTTTTTTTGTGTGAGTAAATTTCTGGCTTTTAAAAAAAAAAATTGACGTGGGGTCGTCCATAAATGACGTCACACTCGTAAGGGAGAGGGGGTCCGCAATTTTGTGACGGTGTGTGATGAGGGGGGAGGGGGTGGGGTTTCAGATGGTGTGGACGTCACTTTTTTTTGCATTATAAAAAAAGCAATGTTAGAAAAACGAGTTTTAGCCGTTATTTCGCGTTTTAGAAAACGGTTTTAATAAATTGTAATAGGAATTGATCAAAATACTCTATGTTGACAGAGTTCTGACAAGACTTTGGAAAAAGTATCGATGTTTTAAGAAAAATTCAACAGAAATTTTGAGGGGGGGGGGGGTGTAGGCTGTGGTGTGACGTCATTTTAGGGGGGTCTGACTTTTTGTGACGACGTGTAACGGAGGGGAGGGGAAGGAAAAAATCGTAAAAAAAGCGTGTCGTCACAAAAAGCAAGACCCCCCCCCCCCAAATGACGTAGCACCATCTGAACCCCCGTCCCCTCAACACACACCGTCACAAAATTACGGCCCCCCCTCCCCAGAGGCGTAGCGACCCTTCCCGGGGACAAACTTTCAACTTTCGATTTGCACCCCCCCCCCCTCAAACTTTCGATTTGCACCTCTTAAAAGACTATTTAACACTCGTATTAATCACTTAATTAAGTGGAATTATCATTTTTCTCTATATATTTTGCTATTTTTTGCCTTGGTGTCACCCCCCCCTAAATGGTGTCAACCGCGCTACGCCTCTGCCCCTCCCCCTACTAGTGTGACGTCATTTATGGACGACCTCTAACATTATTTTTTTTTAAATGACGTGAGTTGTCACACTTTCTCTAACACTCCAAGCCATCCCTCACCAAATTCCACCCCCCCCCCCCCCCCGGCCCACTTTTAGCAGCATTATTGTGCCTTTTAATACTTTTATTCAGTTTAGTTGAAATTGGAACACTTAATTGTACAAAGTGTGCATCTCTATTTTTGTAACCAACGAACAAAGCACTTCAGTCAGTCTCTTTGTTGTTTTTTTATTAATTTGTTAAAACAAAAATACAAAACAAATAAACAAGTCATGTTTTTTAAACATTCATTTTATTCCTTTGTGAAAACAAAAATACAATACAAATAATAAATCGTGTTTTCCTAATGTTTTGGTGTGTTTCGGTTGTTATAATAAAATACGCTCAACTGGAGGTAAACAAGCAATGGAGAATAAAATACGCTAAAATGGAGGTTTACCATAAATCGGGCCTTAGGCTTCCTAAGATTAAAGAAAGATTAAATTGTGTAAGTTCTTAGGGGTCGTCCATAAAAGACGTCACACTCACAGGGGGAGGGGTGGGTCTGTAATTTTGTAACGGTGTGTGATGAGGGGAAGGGGGTTGGGGATTCAGATGGTGCGACGTCTCACTTTTGCATTATCAAGTAGGCTTTTTGATGAGAATTACAGAATGATTTTTTTTATTAAAAATGTATCAATAATAGCTAGAACACTAGTAAACTAAGCTAATTTAGCATATTTTAACTTTCTGTGTAAAGTCATTATTACTGAAAAAAAATTCCAAAGTCAGGTCAGTCTGTGGCAACCTCCAATGAACTTGACAGAAGGAAAAAAAACTTGACCCGTGACCTTCATTAAAACAGAATTTGCTTTTGTTTTTTTTTAATTTTCAGTATACATGTGCTTAATCTTACCCAATAAGTGATAAAAATTTGAAAATTAATTTTAATTACTGGTGTAAAGTGACATAAACAGCTTAATAAACACGTGTTTTCTTGAGGGGGTGTGGCCCGGGTGTGGCACATCCTGACATCGCATTGTTTGTAACTTTATATTTCTGTGTTTTATGACTATATTTGTTCACAATCAGCATGCTATGCTTTTAATTAACGATGGCTTCGTAATCATTAGTTTTATCGCTCTACCCATTAGTGAAAGCGAAACTGGTCGCCATTTTTGGTAAGCGCATGAGCCGTGAGATGGCTTCAAAACAACAAACCCGGAAGCTGCGAATTCGAACGGCCTAAAGCAATGTTACAAAACGATTTGTAGACGTTATTTTGCGTTTTAGAAAACTGTTTTAATAAATTGTAATAGGAATTGATTAAAATACTCTATTTTTACAGAGTTTGGACAAGATTTTGGAAAAATATCGATGTTTAAAAAAAAATTCAACTGCAATTTTGAGGGGGGTTGTAGGCTGAGATGTGACGTCATTTTAGGGAGGGGGGGGGGTCTGGCTTTTTGTGACAACGTGTGACGGAGGGAGGGGGGAGGTAAAAATCGTCAAAAAAAGCATGACGTCATTTATGGATGACCCCTTATCAGCAAATATAACGTGCATTTATTTAAGTTTACTTATAATTTAAATAAGGGATGAATACCAAAAAGGTGGAGGAAGGGGGGGGGATTTTGAATTTTATGATGTAGACCTACTAAGGAGGAAATTGTTAAAATGTGACATAGCTTCCACAATAAAAATATTACTTTATCAATTGGATGTGGATGTATTTTAATGACACATTTCTGAATTGGGGGAGGGAAGGGAGGTGGTTTTTGCCTCTTGTGACAACAGGGGACATTGGATGTGGTATGGTGGGGGGGGGGGGGGGTGGAGGCCCTTGAGAGTACACTTTAAAATTATCTTGTCTAATCATTTGCAACGTTTCTTCAAATCTCAAGGAAGCTGATCTTTCACCTAACAAAACAGTGCTAGTCACAGGTATTTCCGAGTTACAATACATCTTATGTCTGTATGTCTTTTTAGTCTTTTTTGTGCACAGTAATGTGGGGGGGGGAGGGGGGGGGCAGAGGGGACAGCCAGACACCATCTTTTAAGAAGAAAACTGTCTTTAATTTTTTAAGGAGGAAATCACATTTGTCATGTAAAATAATATGTATAAGCCTAAAACATCTTTCAGCTTTGGTGATGCCCCTCCCCCCACCCTTAAGATAACACTATATAACTAATAGCTTCAAACCCATTGTAGTCTTTAAAATATTGATTTATACAGTGATTGGGGAGATATGCCAAAGAATGCAACTTATTTTATTTTCTATTAAATTTAAATACAAGATTAGATAACTTTAAAAAGTTTTTTTATTTTATTTATTTTAGCGGCTGCTGGAGGAACTGGGCAGTTTGCGGTAAGTTATTTACTCTTAAAAGTTTTATACACACTTTTTTTAATGATTAATATAAATGTTATTATCCTGAATTAAAATGTTTAGTTAGGTAATCAAGGTTAATTATTTATTTTTTTGCAAACAAACTCATAAGTAAAATTTTAAAAATCAGAAATATAGTGTATCTTTTTTGCTGCAGGTACAACTGGCCAAACTGGCAGGTGCCCATGTGATTGGTACATGTTCTAGTGATAGTAAGGCTGATTTCCTAAAGGCAAGTAATATTAAATATTGACCAAAATATTAATAATTCAATAAGCCAAAGTTAATTTCATTACTTGATCTAATTTTAATTGCAATCAATTTTAGTTTTTACCTGTTTTGTGGCATACATTTTTAAAAAATTAACTGAATATAAAAAAAAATATTGCACAAATTAATTTGCCCCGAAGGGGGGGCCAATGAAAAACTAATGAATGACATTAATTTATTGACAGTACATGCTTTACTATAAGCAAGTTCTATGACCAGAATAATAATTATATATTTGTTGTTTAGAGCATTGGTTGTTTTAATTTTGATTGCAATCAATTTTAGTTTTTACCTGTGTTGCTGTATACATTTTAAAAATTAGCTGAATTTAAAAAAAAAATATTGCACAAATTAATTTTCTCCCCAGGGGCCACAAAGAAAAAGTGAATTAAATTAATTTATTGACATTACATGCAAGTTCTATGACCAGAATAATAATTGTATATTTGTTGTTTAGAGCATTGGATGTGATCGCACTGTTAACTACAACAAAGAGAACTTAGGAGACGTACTATCCAAGGAGTATCCGGTTTGTATACAACCTACTTAGCACAAATAATGGCTTCTTAAAGAGATTATTTAGAATAAATTTACATAAATATATTTTCAAACAAAATATGGTTAGAAATTGATGTCGTTTTTTTTTTAATAGAATGGAGTTGATGTGGTGTATGAATCTGTAGGAAATGAAATGCTGGATGCTGCTCTCAAGAAGTAAAAAATATAATTTCAGAATTCATATTAAAAGAAATAAGTAAAGACCTAATAATTAGGCCGCTTTTTTTTGTTATGATCAAAGTGAAAGAAAGATGTTGTAATCAGGTTTTATTGTGCTACTCTTTATCCAGCTTGGCAGTGCATGGACGTCTAATTGTGATTGGTTCTATTGCTAATTATGAGGGCTCTACTGTTAATGCTGAGATGAAAACTTCAAGTAAAGTCAATGCACCTTTTGCTGTGAGTACACCAGCCTGCTGGAATTTTTAAACTTTTATCAACAGAGAGCTGCACACATTTTAACCGATGAATATATTGATTTTGAGAAATATATATTTGGCAAATAATTTTAAATACTTTCATTGTGATATAATGAAGCATAAATGTTTTTTTTGTCAAAAGTAAAAGACATAAATTGATATTTTGATACCTTGATAAAGGGTCATCCATTTATGACGTCCACACGGGGGTGGGGGTGTCCAAAATCCAAAAAATTGTGGACGTCATAAATGGATGACCCCTTAAGGTTAAAAGTTTTTTTAAAAGTTTTAAAAAACATTTTATGGTTATATTTTAATTTTTATGAATACTAATAAATTATTAGTTTCACAATTTAGCTTCAATATTTTAATTTTTTCTTTTTCCAGTTACTAGCTAAGTCAGCAAGCATGAGGGGCTTCTTCTTAATTCATTACAAGAATGACTATCAGAGACATGTTGGAACATTATCAAAACTCTACATGGAAGGAAAGCTCAAGATATCAACAGACAATGGCAAGGATTCACCTAGTGGGCCATTTGTAGGACTTGAGAAAATAGCAGATGCTGTTGAGGTAAATACATTAAAACACTACACTTTAAAATATTTATATTTAGAAAAGTCTTAAAATTTAGTTACCATTGTGACATTTTTAAAACTAAGGATAAAAAGGTTGATTTTTTTATTTTTAAAGCACAAACGTTTCAGTGACTTAATTTATTTTTATATCATCTCATTCATGTTAACAATATAGTTAATATTAAACCAAATGTTAATATTTTTTTAAAATTTTCAGTACATGTATTCAAGGAAGAATGTGGGCAAAATTTATGTGGAAATAAATGCTGAGTAGAAATTCATCACCCTCAACTGCTCTAGTCAACTTCATTATTTTGTATTAGATCAAAGTTTTTATGTTTTTAAATCGATGTTAGAAACGTGCTCAATACAATCATGACTTTGACTTAAATTCATTTCTAAAAAACAGTTTATTTAAACTTCAATACATTTTTAGATTATTTGCTTTATTACATTCATTGTTTTTATTTAAATATTTTTACTGGTAATATATAAGAGACAAAATATTATTGATTTTTTGTTTTTTTCAATTAGAGGTATACAATAAACACATAAAAATGGCTGCGGTTTTACTTTTAATACTGCTAAGAACATTATTTAAACTTGTGCTTAAATGTGTAATCACCAAAATTTGATGTAGTTTAAGAATCAGTTTAAAAGAGCAAAAAGACAAATTATGGAGAATTATATTTACATAATTTTAAATCATAGTGTTAAAATGGTCTTTAACTGTAATCAATTCAACTAAGATTTATATAATAATTTCAAAATTTATTTTCTGTTTTGGTAATATCTGTTTATACTCAAAATGCAATTAAATTATATCAAAGAAATATCTGAGAATTAAAAATCTGCTTCTGTAACTATATTATCGTTAACTTAAATTCAAAACAATAACCTGAATTGTAGAATTATATTTTACTTTCATTTATTGATAACAAGCAAAGTTAAACCAAAGCATATATAAAAGAATAGCATTCTAAATTTAAAAATATTAAACCAATATTCATTCAGATAAAACAATCTAAGCTATTTTAAAAACTGCAAACAAGCAACTGGATGCAAGCATATAGGTATAGTATTTACAAGTATTATACAGCTATCCACACACCTTAAACTTGTATTGAAGATTTTATTGTGTTATAAATAAAATATTTTCATTACTATGTTTAAGTCACTGGGAATAAAAATTTTATGTTACATTGTAAGCCATTATCTGTCACTGATTATAGCATTTTTACTTAATTCACAATAAAATGATTATATTCTTAAAACAGTACATGATGGGCAATGATGAAAGTAAAATAATGTTTTATCATATTTAATAAGCCCTTTTTAAAAAGAGAAAATGCAAAAAGTATCTGGTTAGTGTTAAAGGATGATCACCTGTCATATTTAATTTACATATTAAAATTAATTAAATTTAGTAATCAAGAAGCAACTACCCACTGACATTGATATAGGCTTACAGAAGACATTGTAATTATCAGAATTTAACAAACACCTTATAAACTACCCGCAACATACTAATACTGGGTTGACACCGTATGATACACCAACTGATCAGATCTTCTTAAACTGACTTAACTGATAATATCTTTAAAAAATATATTCGGCAACTTTACAGATGATACTACCTGCTTTACTAGCTCAGAGAGCATTCAGGAAATTTTCAAATCAGAAACTTTTAAATGTATAACATAATTTTTATGACCTGGCATAGTTTTGTACTAAAACTTTGGCATTAGTTTACTAATACTGAAAATTTGAAAATGAATGTGTGCTATAACTAAGCAGTCGCGCAACAAAATAATATTGAAAATACACAACAATCATTAATGGAAACAACCCGAATTATTATTATAATTTTATATAAAAACATGGCACGATTTTCAACAAAAGGGTAAACAAAATCTTCATATAACAGAACAACAATTAATATGAAAAAGACTAGATATTTGCATAGTAGTTTTCACTCAAAATTGATTAACTACAACTAGAAAGTGTGATGATTTTTCAAATTTAAGTACCCAGTATGCATGCATAGCAGGAATGTAAGTACTTGAATATATTAAAAAGCAAAGGTGCTTTTTTCATATACTTTTAATAAAATTACCAAAACTCTGTTTAAGAATAATAGCCAAAACATGTGTAAAAAAATGGGTTAATCATAATTATTATTCAACTATGCAATAATTCTGAATTTCAAACATACATTTTTCACTTTTTTTTTTTAATGTGCCTTATGAAATTGACTGTTACAAAACTAAAAATCCTGGCAACAGCACAACCTTAGTTCAGTGTCAAAGATTATGTATTTTACATGTGTATATAAAATACTCTTGTATAATTAGCCACTTGTTTTTTTAAAAAGTTAATAAGGCACATCTTAAAGTTTCTCTAACAGAAGATTAAAACGTTGAATGTAGTCTATGAGTTGTTAATATTTTAAGAGTTAATAACCACAAGAAAACTGCAATAACTTTGGTTTGTACTTATAGAACAGTTTTACTTAGGCCAAAGCCTAAGCAAAAACTTAAAAAATCAATTCAGTCAAAGGTTATATTGGAGGAATGACGTCAGGTACAAATGAATTAAAATTCAACATTGAATGGATAGTAGATATGATCAACTGCACTGTAAAAAAAAAAAATATGTAAAAAATAGGTTAGAAAAATTGCAAAAGTCATGAAATAAGAATTTTGATGATAAAAGAATTATGCAGTAGATAATATTGAGGTAAATTTTAAAATTATAATTAAAAAGTCATTAATTTTTGGTCATAAGCATTCTATTGCTATTGGCAAACAAAATCTAAAAATATGTATAAAATTATAATTTATGTATAGAAAATTGAAAGCAGTCACATATTTACATTTTCTCAGAATAGCCTCTGAAATTTTTATTTAAACCATTCAACTGTGTCATTTCTTCTTCACTAAGCTTAAAGTCAAAAACCTAAAAAGAAGAAATATAAAATGCAATATTAAAGTATGTAAAAATGTATTTAAAAATTAAACTGGATCTCAATACTCAATTCAAGAAAAATGTTTATATTTTATCTCAGTCTTCTCAATGCTTATTATAACTGGCTGACTCATAGATACAAAGTTTAAAAATTCATTGATAAACTATGTTATGGCCTGTCATTATTTAAAATTTTCACATAAAGCAACAAACCTTAGTATTCTCTTCAATCCTGTTTTGTGTGACACTTTTTGGTACTGTGGCCAAACCTTGTTGAATTAAAAACCTTATAGCAATCTGCAAACAGATTAACTCATTAACATTTTACTGTCATTAAAGTTCACTCTAGAAATAACAAGGCCTTAATACACAATTTTTTTACAGAATTAAGAGTTAATATCTAAGTACCTGGGCTGGTGTTTTGCCATGTTTTTCTCCAAGTTCTTTCAACAAAGGTTCATCTATAAGCTTGATATGATCTAGTCTAAGGATTTAAATAATAACTGAAATTGATTTAAATTCTTTCATGATTTTCATTCAACTACTGGAAAATGTCAATCCGACCCATACAAGAAGATTCTTTTCAGAATGTTTCTAGAGCAAACAACTTAATATCCCTGAGGTTTCATTCACTTCTGATGAATTTTTAAAACATCAATAGTCTAAAACCCAAAACATAACAGCAAAAGCTTTACTGCCTTACTTGTGGCTGGGTGTTCCTAGTGGAGCAAAAGCTACAACCACTAAACCTTTTTCTTTGGCAAACTCAATCAACTTCGTGTTTGTGTTGTGGCAGTTGACTTCAATCTGGAAATATTTTTAGTTACTTTTTAATGTAATTGTTTGTGTTGGGAACAGAATGGTCAGAAGGTAGGGCTTACGACTGCTAACCCAAAGTCTCAAGGTTGGGATCCCAGGTCCACGAGTTCATCCAATTTTGATGAATAATCATTATTTTCCCGTTCGTGCCCAAGAAACAAGGGGCAGATGAAGCAGAGTTGATCTGTTTCAATGACATTGGCATACAAGGGGATAATCTGGTAAGCACTATGCTCAGCTGCCTTTGTTGACGTGAGTCAGGTACACATTGGAGCTAGGTGGACTCAGGGATGTCCTACAGACTCAAGCTTGGGATCTGAACTCAAGACTTTTTGGGTAAGCAGTCTAGTACTCTACTGCTTGTCCACACCATACCTGCCTCACATTAGGGGAAAAAAGGCTGCTATGCATAGTACTGAACACAATATCCCTCATGTGCCAAGGTCATTAAAACAGATGAACTCTGCCTTAAGTGTCGTGGGCACAAATGGGAAAAGATGGTGATGAATTGTTGGTGTGTGAGAATTTACATCAATCAGAAAATAAATATAGTTACTTTAAGTTATTGTTTGGCCCTAAAGTTATCCAAGTGGTAAAAGTCAATTTTTTTTCTTTTCAGAGACAGTAAGAAGTTAACATAAAGTGAGATATGCATAAAAGTAATGCATTCATCATCAACTAATGTTATTTAGGTACTAAAATGGGAAATCATAACCAGTGTTATTATTTAGGCATAAAATATATTAAACACTTGCAAGAGTAATCATTATTTTTTTGTAATTTGTTAGCTATGTTCAAGAGACCTGTAATACTACTGGTGGTATCCTTGCAGACTGTAAAACTCTCTCAATTTGTTGGCTGTTGAAGTTGCTTAATCCAATGTCCAGTGTTTTGCCCATATCTCGACAGTCCTCCAGAGCCTAAACAAACAAACATTTTTTTCATAAGTTAAATTATTTAATCGTTTTAGTTTTTTTTTAGTAGTTACAAAAATAAAACAATATAGATAAACACTGGATTTTAATTGTTTCATTAAAAGCTTATTAAAGTTTGACAGTTTGATTACTAAATCAGCATTATTTATACCAAAAAAAAAAATTAACAGGGATCTAGCCAAATTTTGAATAGATACAGCATCAGCTATGTAGGGAGAGGAAACATTTGCATCTAATTTCATTAGTGGTTTTCATTTTTTATTTAAAAAACGTAATCCCCAAACATTTATAAATACAAGTTTATTTAATACGAGAAAAAATTTGTTTTATTTTTTAAAATGAAGAATTGTGTATACATACTTGCCATGTATCCAAATAGTCTACATCTGAACTGATGGCTTTGCCATTTTCATCTACAGGGTTCAGTACACCACCTTCCTAAAGTTAACAACAACAATAAATTAATTTAATTATGAAATACATCTACAATTAAACTCAGGTATAAAATTCCCTGGGGAAAATATGTCTATAAAAAATTACTGAAAAAAAAAATAGTCTGTATAATTAACAGTATTTTTATTAATTTTGTATTTTTGCAATTAAAAAACAAGTATTATGAAGTGGGGTACAAACTTGATATGCCATGGGCCAGTGCATAAGATATAAGTCAACATATTCTAGGCCAAGGTCATCTAGAGTTTTCTTTAAGCTTGGAAGAACTAGATCTGGCTTGTGACACGTGTTCCATAACTGCAGAAAGTTAAGTAGTCAAAATAAACAGTTAAGTAAATCTAAACATACCTTACATTATACTTCCAAAGAGACATTATTTGAGTCGAAAGAGAATTAATATTTATTGTAATTGTAAAACTCATATATTATAAGAGAATTAATATTTATTGTCATTGTAAAACTCACATATTATCTTTATTATTTGTACTAATTAATCGATATTAAATTATAATCATCTAATACATTTGTAAATTAGAAGAAAATAGGTTTAATTAAACAAAATTATATTTTTACAAAAACAATTTTTAAATTTGAAATTTGGGTTAATTATATATAAATTGAATATTACCTTACTAGTGATAAAAAGATCTTCCCTTTTTACCACTCCCATAACAAAGAGCTCCTTAAGAGCATGCCCAACAGCCCTTTCATTCCTGTAGATGGCAGCACAATCAATGTGCCGATAGCCAGCACGGACTGCAGCTTTTACTGCTTCAATGATCTCATCTTCTCCCTTTAACACAAAAGGCAAAAGATTTTTAAAAACCAAATAAACTCTTCATGGGCATGAAAATATTGTTTTTGACAGTTTCAAATTTGTTGTGTTTGAAAGGTGAGTGGTTGATACTTTTCTTTGCAGCCGCTAAATTTTTTAAAAATTAATCTCAGAAAAATATCAATGTCACAAAATAGGTCTTAAGTCAAGCAGTCACTACCCCTTAGAACTCCCCCCCCCCCTAATTGCCTATGCCTTTAGAAAGCTCACACCAAATGATTTCATTGGGAGGTGAAGAAGAGTTTATTTCTCAATCATTACTTAAGACTTGTATTATACATCCTAACCTAACAAACACCCATAGTATAATTTAATTACACATTTAATGACAAAAGTTTTATTTTCTTTAATAATTCATAATTAGGAGAATCTAACTTTATGTTTTGTACCATATGTTGTTATCTATAAATATATGAAGTTATCTCAAAAGTGTAACAGGATTAAATTTAGGGCAAGGTATTTGGCCTAGTTTTTTTCTTTAAGCACCAGGTAAATGTTTTCTAGGCCATCAGCCTGTGTAAAAAAAAAAAAAAACATGCACATTCAGCTCATTTAGAAAAATATAGTAGACAGTGGTGCCAACTGTATTCTTTTCTCACAGAAAAAGTCTATTAAAATCAAGTCATTTGGAAGTAAGAAGTGTAAGCATGCTAATGCTTATGGTATTTACAAATAACTGCACTGCATTTTTTAATATATTTTAAGGTGGCTTAACTCTCAAAACTCAAAACGGATGTAAATATTATAATATAAGTATAAGTTGCACAACACTTGAAAGGTTTTGAAAAGAAAACTGTAATCATTTGTTTTTTAAATAATTAGATTGGGTTTTGGGTAAAATTTAGTACTATTAAACTAGTAAAAATTTATAGCATCTCAGTTTTTAGGAATTTTTCAAAATTAATTTCACTCAAACATAGTCTATTTTGCTGACAGATTCTTTGTAGAAATAAAGATAATTTAAATATTTGTTAATGATATTACAAAATAGATGTAAAACATTTTAAATGGTTTAATGGATAATGGAGATTTTTTGGTGACTCTGGCAAATGAATCCAAAACAGGTTAACTTAAAAGGACAATTATGAGATGCACTGGTGAATATTACATGTTTGAAGTTAAGATAAAAGAAACAGACATTGCTTTACTGATTAACTTTCACTTTTCCCCCACTCAAGCATTAATGATCAATAAAACAACTCCCCACCCCCCCCTCCCCTCCCTGAATAAAATGCGCCTTTTTGTGAATTTTGCTTTAAACGATAACAAAGAAACAATGATAAAAAGGAAATCATTTACATAAATTAATTTGATAAATATAAACTAAGGATGAATTAAGATGAAATAACAGCAGCTGGACTACAGTGTTTCTACCAGCCATTTTTCTCGGGGGGTGGGGTACTTGATATTTTTAATGTTTTTGGGGACGGGGACGACAACAACAACATTTTCTGGGGGGGGGGGGGGGGGGGGGGGGGGGGACACGACAGACATTGGTAAAAATATAAGTTTTCTATATAAATTCCATTTCGTTCGGGGCGGGGGAGGGGGGGGGAGGGGGGAGGAGGGATGGAAGGGGGGGGGGTAGAGATGCCTGGAAGAAACTCTGTTGGACTCAGCAAGGAAAAAGAAAACAGGGAAGGCTTAGAAAGACATGAAGACAGAAGACAAGAAACAACTGACAAGAGTTAGGACTGTCTTTGACAACAGCCAAGAAAGCTGTCAGAGACCGACAAAAATGAGGAAGTATAATGGTGGTATATAACATGCAAAATTGATAGTTCACCCCCAAGTGCCACTATAAGGATTTCACCCCTGCCTCAATTAGGCTGCCAGGCAAGTGTCTCCTAGATCATCCCTAAGTAAACCTATCTCGAGATGGTACCTGACTTTGGAGTTTCTTTCAGGTATCTTTTCAAAATTCAGGGGATCACTGCTCCCAAAAGCATGTCCTTCCCCCCCCCCCCCCCCCCCATGAAATAGAAAATAATATGAAAATATATTTATTATTTATAATTTTACATAACCAGTGTCTGTTCCCTCCGGCAGAAATTGAAGTGCCCCCCCCCCCCCCAAAATTTATTTAAAAGAAACACTGCCTGTCTTGAGTCAAGGAAAATAGTTAGTACAGTAGTACTAACTTAGTCAATGACCTAGATTTTCTGGATCTGGGCTAGATTTAAGTAGGCCTCTAATTTTAAAAATTTTAAATATTTAATATAGCCTAATGCTAGGCTTTTGTTGTTATAATAATAAAAAAAAAGAAATAGGCCTAGTAATATTAACTATTGTTACATGGTAGTTGTAGAGTTGTAGGCTAATGTGTATTTTATTTTAAAATAAAATGCAAGTTATTATCAGACTTACTCAACAGTCCAGCTAGCTAGACTAAGACCCAGGCAATACAATAGTCAGATCTATCTAGATCGTGCAGATGATTAGACTTTAGTTTATTCCTAATGAAACTGAACCTAACAAAAATGCAAAACGGCCTTTGTTTAAGTTTTTACGGTTCTTGACACGGGTCCTTTGCCTCAATTAGGCTGCCAGGCAAGTGTCTCCTAGATCATCCCTAAGTAAACCTATCTCGAGATGGTACCTGACTTTGGAGTTTCTTTCAGGTATCTTTTCAAAATTCAGGGGATCACTGCTCCCAAAAGCATGTCCTTCCCCCCCCCCCCCCCCCCATGAAATAGAAAATAATATGAAAATATATTTATTATTTATAATTTTACATAACCAGTGTCTGTTCCCTCCGGCAGAAATTGAAGTGCCCCCCCCCCCCCCCCCCCCAAAATTTATTTAAAAGAAACACTGCCTGTCTTGAGTCAAGGAAAATAGTTAGTACAGTAGTACTAACTTAGTCAATGACCTAGATTTTCTGGATCTGGGCTAGATTTAAGTAGGCCTCTAATTTTAAAAATTTTAAATATTTAATATAGCCTAATGCTAGGCTTTTGTTGTTATAATAATAAAAAAAAAGAAATAGGCCTAGTAATATTAACTATTGTTACATGGTAGTTGTAGAGTTGTAGGCTAATGTGTATTTTATTTTAAAATAAAATGCAAGTTATTATCAGACTTACTCAACAGTCCAGCTAGCTAGACTAAGACCCAGGCAATACAATAGTCAGATCTATCTAGATCGTGCAGATGATTAGACTTTAGTTTATTCCTAATGAAACTGAACCTAACAAAAATGCAAAACGGCCTTTGTTTAAGTTTTTACGGTTCTTGACACGGGTCCTTTGCCATGTTGAAACCGACTGTGCGATCAGCTGATCAAGACGAGAATCTGAGCTTAGTGCCTAGGGGTTAACCTCGTTACTCGTAACCGAGAATCCGCATGGAAATTTATGAAACTTCTACAAAGCACTTACTTGCAAAGGCGCGCATGTTCCTAGCCCCAGTACCGGTATAAAATGCCCACTTTTCAGCTTAATGCGCTCTGTCTCAACATACTTTTTAGCCATTACTCAAACAATTGCTTGTCGACCGAAGAGATCTGTTCCAGCAACCTTTTTTTTTCGTAACCTAAAAAAAGTGTGTGTAGACGTGCATTAGTTTACAGCCATGACCTTTGAACTTGCGGTCAGGTCAAAAGAATTATCAGACTAATCCAGATCTACTTGTAGCAGCTAGGCTACAGGGCTACACATTTTATTTGGGATAGGGACATACTACATTAATAATATATTATATAGGCCTACTGTACATAAAGTATATAGACCTAGATCTAGATCTACTTCTATTAACATATTTTGACTTTCTAATAATGGATCGTGCACATTTTATATTACTATTACACAATGAGATGGTGGTTTATCATTAAGAAGCCCCTATTAACATTGTTTAATTTATCAGATAAAGTTCAAAAACCTATGTATTATGTATAGAAGCTAGTAGACCCCTAGAATAGATGTATAATAATTATATGAGTAAGAGTTACGACACGGTCGCTGCCTCTATATCTGGATTATTGATCTGACTATAGTATAGGCCTATTTAAATTAGAATGGGTTAGAATGTTAGATGAAAAGATCTATTCTAGATCTGTGAATCATAATATGATATGTTTACACAATTTAACAGTGTAGCACATTTTTCTAATAATCCTTTAAAGAGTGCTTTATCTTTAAAATGATTTCAACCAGTTTGATCTGTTATTTTTTATTTTATTTAAAAAATCAGTTTTTTAATTTTTAAGAAAATGTCGCTGGCAGGGTTTCTTTCACTTATTGGGGGGGGGGGAGACTTAAAACTACCGGAGGGTGGGGGTGCTTAAAATTTCCAGGGGCAGACACTTATTGAAATATATATTTAAATATATTTTCTATAGGGCTTAATATTGATCCATTTTTTTACAATTTAAAAATTTAAAAAAAAAACCCCAACAACAAACAAACAAAAGAACAAGAAATATCAGCTAAACTTTAGTATCTAACATTTCTTTTTTGAAATGCTTGTGTGTCGTCACATTTTCTCAACCCCCAATACCTATGTCACTAAAGTTCGAAACCGCACCTTTCTAAGAGAGTGACCTCGTTTATGATTTTGATTTGTGGTATTAACAAGTATTGGTTTGTTTTCCGGCAATTAGTACAGCCAGGTTATTTTTAGTAATGACTAGAATACCCGTCATCCGTTGGATAACTGTGGGTTTCGGGGGTCATCCATCAAAAAACATCACGTCTGTCACTCAGAGGCATAGCGACCCTTCCCGGCGCCCGGGGACAAAGTTTTCGATTTGAACCCCCCCCTCAAACTTTTGATGTGCACCCCCCCCCACTCAAACTTTCGATTTGAACCCCCCTCAACCTATCAATTTATTTTTCCAAACCATTTTGGCGCCCCAACATATGTCCCCCCCCCCTTCCCCCCTCCACCTCCCCACCCCCCCTTCCCCCCCCCCCGCCTCCCCTCCCCACCCCCCGCCTCCCCTCCCCTACCGTCCCCCCCCCCCTCCTCGGTACGCTACTGCAGTGTCACTTATCGTCACAAAAAACAGACCCCACATTCAAATATATGTTTTTTATCTTTTAAAAACACCGAAAACACCGATTTCGGACTATCCCTTCATAAACTGACGTCACAGGTGACCTACTCAACTCTACTTCACCTGCCCAGTGTCCTGCCAAGTCTCAGACAACATGTTTTTATCGTTTAAAAAACAATTCCAGCCGAGCATGTATCTGACCACACTATCCTTTCATATGCTTAGGACAAAGAAACAGATGAACTCTACTTCACCTGCCCTGTATCTTGCCAAGTTCAGATAGGCAACGTTATCATTCACATCTAAAAAAAAAAAATTGAAAAAAAAAATTTCATTGACATATTGGTCTAGAACCCGTGCCTCCTGCATGAGAGCTGACTACGCTACCATTTTAGCTATTTACTCGTGACGTCACAAGTGAATTTTTATACTATACTATGTGTCTCCTTATGCAACTTGATTTACGCGTATAGATTCTAGATCTAGATCTAAAAATAAGTCTAGTAGTACTAACTTTCAAATTAAATTTTATCTTAAATAAGCCAAACAAAGATTTATATAAAATAATTAAGGCCTGAAATAGATTCTAGATGTAGAATTTACATTGAATCTAGTGACCTACATCTAGGCTAGATCTAGATCTAGGCTAGATTCATAAATTTCCTTCGATAGCTGATCTTTAGATCTAGAGAAATTTATCGTAAAACTAAATGAAAAAGACAGTTGAAAATTGATATAAGTGTTGGAACGTAATAAATACAGCAAACGGACGTATTGTTAAAGTTATGACCGACAGAAAATTAGCTTTGTAACGCGTTAAACTTTTGAATGGGCCACAAAGTCTTTGATGGGGTCCGCCATTTTTATTGAACCAAAAATGTAAACACATCAAGGGACGTCACTATCCCCACAAAGTTTATTCAAAGTATTAACATTTTTAAAAAAATACGGTTAATTTAACTATGAATAAATCAATTAATTAATTAACGTCTTTAAATAAATTTGTGATTAACAGTCTGTCTGCATTAAAAAATTATTCTCTACCTACATACTATTTTACAGCTCTCCACATAGAGCCGAACATATCAGGATACTTGATCAGGCAAACAAACAAACAAACAAAAAAACAAAAAAATAAATATTCAAACATGTAAACAAACTTGACTTTTAGTAGTATATAGATGTGTACTTAGAGTAAAAAAAAAAACACGTACCGGTAACACACCTTCTTGGTGTAAATCTCTTGATCTAGATGCCCTAGTCTTTTTTGTTTTAGAATTAAAGTTTAATGAGAATATTTAGGCCTCAACTATTTAGATTTCAAGCCAAAATGACTCAACTTATAGATGCAACGAAAGCAAAAGAAATAATAAATTCTGTCGATAATTTTTTGTTTGATTGTGACGGTAGGTTAAAGAAAAGACTGAACTTCAGTCACTGAAGTTAAACTTTAAAAGTAAAACAGTAAAAGACAAAAGTTAGGCCTAAAGTTAAAAGTAGATCTAGAATCTAGATCTAGATAATCTAGATCTAGAGTCTAGATAAAATAAAATTATAGAAACTTTGGCTGTGAGATACGGATTTATACTGTCGAGGAATAAATTTATTAAATTAGTCAAACACGGATATGGCTGGACTGTTTTTACTGTTTAGGCCTTTTTTTTTGGCTTTACTTTTAGAATCAAGAGTCTAGTGTTTTTAGATTTTCTAGTAGTTTTAGTTGTTTTTTTTTTAGGCTAAGACAAAGAAAAGATCTGGATCCACAAATCCTAAAGTCAAAGTGCTAACTCTGTTAGTAACTGTGTACTAAAACATGAAAAGATGTGCGCACATTGGGCTTTTATAAATTAGGATTAGGCCCAAATGAATATGAGTAGTAAATACTAATAGTAGGCCTAGTATAGGGCCTATCTATAGATTCTAGATCTAGGTCTAATTAGTAATTACTAGAATTCTAGTAATTAGTACTAATTAGTAATTAGCCCTAATTGTCACTAGATCTAGAATCTAGATCTAATTGAAATTGTTTAGGGCCTAATATTATAAATATAAAATGTAGGGGCTTAGGCTATTTATACTATTTAATAATAATTTAGTAGTAGTATGTTATGTAGATCTAGTAATTTACCATTTTGATCTAGATCTAGATCTATCTAAATTCTCAATACTGAACTTAACTATTACTACTACACTAACTCACTATTATCTATGATGAGTCAAACATTTAATCTATGTATTTTGTATTTGTATGCTAGTGTATTAATCAAGTTAGTAAGCAGAGAGTGTATCATATTGTACGACTGCTTACTTTACTTTAGTCTTAAGTTAAACCTAGGGCAGATGAGGCTTGTTAGCTAGTAAAAGCAACCGATCAAGAAGAAAACTCTAAAATCAAACAACTGCTGCATTTTTTTTCTTGGATGTTCAACATTCAAGGACTTTGGAAGCAAATCCAAATTGAAAAGCAGGCTGAAATTAAAGTCAACAGGCTGCATGGCACATAACATACAAGGGGGTGGGGGGGGGTTGGGCATGGGCTAGATGTTCAGCTAGTAGGTCTAGAATTAATCATGTTATATTTCCCATGCATTGTAATTTTTTTTCTTTATTTTATTATGCAAAAATTAAAAAATTACCATTTACTTATATACAGGAGTGTTGTGGGATGGAACTGGCAAAATTGAGGGAAGCTTAGAAACAATACTGAAGCTAAAAGAACTGGTAATTACCACCTACTTTTCCTTTTCAAATAAATTTATAAGCTTTTTTTAAGTAATAATATAGAATAATATCATTGCAGTTCAGTTTTTTTTTAATTGGAATTTTTTTTTACATCATTACAACATTAATTTTATATTCTGAATAGGGTAAAAAAGTCTTCTATGTAACAAACAACAGTGCGAAAACTCGTGCTGATTATATGGTAAAGTGTAAAGAATATGGATTTCCAGCAGAAGAGGTATGTTTCAAAACAATCCAATATGTTAAAAATTACTTATTGAATTTTCATTTTAATTGCTCTTAAATTAAAGTTTCATATCTAGAGTAGGTTTTTTAATTTATTATTTTGTTGTATGTTTATGTTAGGTGTTTTCTAGGTGAAAATTTGTTGTATTTCAATTCTTCATTCCACAGAATGAGATAGTCTGTACAGCTTTTATTGCAGCACAGTACCTTAAGACCATTGGGTACAAAGATAAAGTTTATCTTATAGGTAAAGATGATTCTATTGGGAAAGAATTGCAAAATGCAGGAATTAACTACACTGGGACAGGTGTAAGTAAACAAATGGATCTTTGGTAATAAAGTTAAATGAATCCCCTTTGTGTTAGCTCTATAGTGTTATAAAATTAATATTGGTGATATTAGTTATTCAAATTTGTAAATATGGTTCATTCAATGTGTATTAACCTTTTTATGCAATTTTAGTCAAGTGAATGAAAAAAGGAGTAGAAATAACATTCTTTATTTAAATTTTCTTTGCCATTAATTTTAAAAAATTGGGAACTTCACATTGTAGAACCATAGGTTTGTTTTATTTCATTTTGCTTTTCAAAGGAACAATACTTAAAGTGAAGCTAGGCTTAAGTTATAGTGATCAGACTGACATTGGTTATTAGCATACTTAGCCAGCTGTTTCTGATAACCTTCTGTTACCTTTATCTATGCTTGGTCATGGGATTGCAGAACACCAGCAGTTGCTGTATGGTATTCACTTGCTTTATAGCAGGCTTACCATAATTGTATGCTGGGATAATACTCTTGTATTCTTTCTTTGTTCTTGGTTTTTATTGTGGGAAATGCATATTTAAACAGACAAATTTAAGAACCCTATAAAGCTTTACTTCGTGATTTAATATTGTTACTGTAATTTTATCACCAAGCCTGATGTCCTTAATGGGAAGCTTAGCGATTGGCTCTCAATGAAGCTGGACCCCACGGTATTCAGATAGAAGCAAAAAGTTATTACAAAACATTTGTTTGGAATTTGTTGTTTGCAGTTTTTAGTATTTTGTTCTTGATAGTTCTTAAGCAAAAAAAAAAACCAAAATGTAACAAACACAAATATTTATGTAATGGTTGAGCCTTAAAAAGTTTGAAACTAAAGAGTATAAATTTCTAAAAAAAAAATTGTAGATGAATGCTTCAGGTGTTTTACTGAATCATTGCTTAGGCAGACTGAACTGTTAAGACTGAACTGTAAAATATAATAAATGAACATTCTTAATCAAAGGCTTTAATTATGTTAATTATGTTTTAAAATTTCATTTGTGATTAATATTAAATTAATTTTTACTCAGTTCAAAATTAGATCTCTTCTTTTGTAAACTTAATCAATTTTAAAAAAGTAAAAAAAAAATGGTTTCCAAGATTTTAAACATTTGTATGTTGTGTTAATCAACTTAAACAATAGCTTTTTAAAACAAGATCTAATTTTGAAAACATCTTTCTGTTGTAAATTCAAATTGCTTAGTTTGCTTTTTGTTATGTTTATGTTTGGAGTTTTTCTTTGATGTTTTAGCCTGATACATTGGTTGGGAATGGTTACGAAGATTGGCTGAGAGATATTAAATTAGATCCTGAGGTATTTTGTTTTTATTTAAATAAATCTAATAAAATTTAATGTTAATTCAACTATCTTGATAGAAATTTTGTCTTATCTAATATGTTACGGAAACTGAAAATATATTTTTAAAATACAGTGACAACCCTGTAATTTTGCAGGTGAAATGTGTCGTTGTTGGATTTGACCCCCACATCAGTTACATGAAAATAATGAAGGCAGCAAGTTACCTGACCAATCCTGACTGCTTGTATGTGGCCACCAATGAAGATGGGTCACTGCCAGTCAAAGAGAAAAATATATGTATACCAGGTAATGCCTCTTTTCCACCATCTTAGTTATGTTTAATGGGAACTAATATTATTACAAATTATTATTATTACAAATATTATTTATATCCTTCATTTTACAACAGTTTGTAGTTCATCTTAGTTATGTTTAATAGGAACTAATATTATTACAAATTATTATTATAAATATTATTTATATCTTTCATTTTACAACAGTTTGTAGTTCATGGGAAATGAAAATCCTTGGTGTTGTTTGATTAAAAGAATTTTGCAGTGTCCCACTAACTACTAACTTACTACTAGAAGTATTTGTTTCTTGTCATAATTGTTAAAAGATGTTTAGACCCTGAATTTGACTTAACATTTCTCAGCTAATGAGGGTGGAGACTTCTTGTTTATTTTTACTCCTAGTGAGCATAGGGAACAGATCACATGTTGGCAGTACACTCAATTAGTTGGCTCTTTATCAATCTCAGGCATCTCTCCCCTCTCTTGTGCCAGATCTTATCAATATAATTTGTTTTTCTTCTTTTGCCAACTATCGCTCCCCGTAATTTGTCTTGTGTTTTTGTATAAGGGTGTCTCCCATTAACTGATTTGAGCACTAACGGCAATGATTTCTTTACTCAGGAACCGGTTGTATGGTTTTGCCAGTCACTGTAGCAGCTAACAGACCACCAATCCTTATGGGTAAACCAGAGACAAATATGTTTGAAGTACTTAGGCAAGTTCATAACCTTGATCCATCCAGGTGTATGATGACCGGTGATAGGTAAGCATTTGTATTCATTTGGTGTTAATTCTCATTTAGTGGTTTTAGTTGAAGAGCTTGTATCAGAATTACAAAGTACAGAAACTATTAACTTTTCAAATAGCTTTTCAGCTGTGAATGTAGATCTGTATATTTTATCTGTTTAAAGTTTTTAAAACTTTGCATGAATAAAACTAATGCAGTGTGTAAAAATGTGTATTTTCACCAGAATCAGCACAGACATAGTGTTTGCTAAAAGATGTGGTATTCGCTCCTGTCTTGTTTTGTCTGGGATATCTACCATTGATGAGATCAACACACCGGAGCGAGCAGGTCCCAAAGCTGAAAGTGATAAACAGCCAGATTATTATGCACAAAAGCTGGCAGACTTTGGAAAATATCTATAACATCTTATTTTAGATAGCCATCTTAAAAGTGATTTATTTATTTATTTTACATTTTATAGAACTATTCCAAGTTCATATACATTTCAACCCATTATAGTAATATTTATCACAAGGAGGTGCTAAATGTTATATTAACTAATTATGTCTTTCAAAATAAGGTTTTAGATAAATCCATTAATACTTTTGTACATTTGATATGCTGCTTCAAGTCATTAAAATAAGTTCAGAATTATTTTATTTTTAAAAAGTCAAAATTCAGTATTGTAATTGTTACAGAGACACATATTTTATAAGGTGTTCTAGTCTTCTATATTAAGTTTTTTTTTTATATCAGTTAAATATCTAGGTTTAACATAAAGCAAGCATTTTTTTTTGCACAAATTGTCATTGTTTATTTTTTTAACATTGAAGTTCAAATTGTGAGCCCAAATCAGTCATATGCTAAACAAAATCACTTAAAGCTGTATAATAAAAGCAATATTTTATATCATATATATGTTGATTGTCAGAAAAACTCTGTTCTTTACATTGCTCTGCAACTTAGCATTTGTACACATTCAAAACCTCATTGATAGGACTGAAACTGAAAGAATCTGTCCACTATGAGGATAAAACAATCTGTGTCAAAGATGAAACATCATATCAGCTAATGCTTAATTTTTGTTCTTAATTTACTGAAATTGCCTTTTAAATTTATTTTTTAAACGACTGACCAAATTTCAAGGCATTTTAAAAATTAAGGTACAATTACAAATATTTTTTATAATTTAAAAAAAATGTATTTTGCACACCTCATTTTATTGTCACCATCCCATTTATAAGGGAAATAACCAAGCTGTCTTGTTCTTGCCAAAAATATTAATTGAGGTGTCTCCCTTTACACGGTGAACAAACTTGGTTTGTTCTGCTTGCCGTTTTTATATGGCTGTAATACAGGGGTCATCGATAAATGACGTCACGCTTTTTTGACGATTTTTACCTCCGTCACACGTCGTCACAAAAAGCCAGAACCCCCCCCCCCTAAAATGACGTCACACCCTAACCTACAACCCCTCCTTTAAAAATTGCAGTTGAATTTTTTTTTAAACATCGATATTTTTCCAAAATCTTGTCTATACTATTACAATTTATTAAAACAGTTATCTAAAACGCGAAATAACGTCTAAAATTCGTTTTCTAACATTGCTTTTTATAATGCTAAAATGTGACGTCGCAACATCTGAACCCCCCTCCCCCTCATTACACATCGTCACAAAATAACGGACCCCCCCCCCCCCCCCCCACAACACGTCTAATCAACATTAATACTTAAAATTTTAGCAAATCCCCCCCCCCCCCCCCCCCCCCCCCACTGCGAAGGAATGTTTGAGAGGTGCGGGAAATTTTAAAAGGCGCCCCCAACCCCATACTAACATTTTTTTGTGTACATTTTTATCTCCATCAAAACCTGAATTTTTAGGACCTGGCAAGAAGGAATAGTAAAAAAAAAAGAACAATTTTTTAAAAAATTCAACACTTTAATAGGTATATTACTGGACCCTTCTTGAACACTTCGAACCGCCATTCACTCCCGCCTACGCTGGGTGGTACACTTCTAGTTCACCAACAACCCTTTTAACACAACTCGAAATCAAACACCTTTCTAGTCATTCTAAAACGATAGATTACAAAATATATGAATTAATGTTAATGTGGTAATTAATTATGGATTTCGCTCGAAACACGATCCGAAAAATATCCTTTCAAAATAAAATATCTTTTGTAGTTGAATTTCAGTGCCGTTTTAGTTAGTTTTTTTTTTACTAGATTCTATATCATTTTGCAATCTTTCGATTCGTTTTAAAACGTATAATACACGTTCCCAACGCCTAATACTAATAATATTGATTTTTTTAAAAATATTTTAGTGAGAAATTTGATATTGGCCTTTTAAGACTAGTGCCCATAATTTAAAAATAAAAAACTAGGCTAATTAGATCAAATATATAATAGCGGTGCATTAGTCTAGAGTTCTTTTTTTTTCAGATAAAAATAGAGAAACACCGCGGTATCAGACCCAAAAATTTGTAAAAATAAGAACTTCAAAATGTTTTTATTCATTTTTTTTTAAATAAAGGGGAGTTAACTCAATTTTTTAAATACTAGCGATTGCTCGATTTGCTGTCCGACGCACATGTCAGAAAGAAGTATTACTATTGTAAATCAGTATCAGTCATTATTCCATATAAGCCAATGATGAAAACTGTAACACTAAAGCGAACATGGCAAGGCAAACTGATAAAATGATGCTGGGCAGTGGACAATGGCGAAAGCAGCCTATTAAAACTTTTCCATTTAAATTTTATTTTCTATTTCGTCCGGGGAAGGGGCCGTTGGATATGCTGTGATAGTATAGGCAGTGATTCCACCACACCTTTACCCCTTCTCAGATGAGACAGAACCACCGGGGGGGGGGAGAAGATGGCAGTCTGAGTTACAGCACACGTTGACTCCATACCAGAGGAGTAGCGATGGGGGGGGGGGGGGCGGGCGGTTGGGCACATATGTCCCCGGGCGCCGATCTTAGGGGACGCCAAAATGAGTTGGAAAAACAAATCGAAAGTTTGAGGGGGGGGGGGGGGTTGCAAATCGAAAGTTGTCCCCGGGCACCGGAAAGGGTCGCTACGCCTCTGCTCCAAACTGCCCCCTGTGCTCATTTAAGTGAATTATTAAATTAATGTTTCTAAACTTGTCAGGCAAAACACCATCCTGTATTTTAAAAAGAAGGATTTTATTTTGTTTGTTTCTTCTCTGCTTACATTGTTTTCACATCTCACCAGATTCAGTTCAAAGATTTTTATTTTAAAATCTAAACCACACTTTTTTTGGTAACATTTAACACAATTTGTTCTCTCATTTTTAAATATTGATCCAACAGATCTAAAATGCACAATCATTTGAGAATATTTTGGCTATGCATTATCAGAACATATTTTTACATTGAAATACACCCAGAAACATTCTTTAGAAAATAGTTGGGACAAAACATTAACCTTAAACTGTTGTCATATGAATTTCACCTTATATTTATTTACAATAGCATACAAGGGGGAATTTTAAATAATAATCTCCATAACCTGTCTAAAAAGTCAAATTCCCTTTTTGAACTTTATGGTCCATGAGGCAAGTGAAGTAGAGTAAGCAAAAGGCCCAGTCACCATTACTTTCCCTTTCCCTAACATGAGTTAGGTACCCATCAGAGCTGGGTGGACTTAGATACGCTCTTATGACTTGGACCCAGATTTGCACATCAGGCTTTCGTGTTAGCAGCTGAGCACTCTACAGCTTGAGCAATGGCGTAGCATAATTTGACTAACACCTCATTATGTTCCTCTAAAAATAAATTCATGGAATGTTCATTAAACACTCTTAGAACTGTAAAGCAAAGTGACTCAGGACACCAAGTCAACACAATTACTTGTTGATGGCTGGGAAAGTGCTAAATCATCACCTGACCAACAGGAGTAAAGCTGATTGGTCTAAAATTGTAGCCTAACATGGCATCAAAATAAGATATTGTGCATTCATGGTAAAACTATTCATTTTACCATTGAATTTCTTTGGCTCAGGATTGCATATAGTTTTATATGTGCTCTATGAAATTAAACATGGGTTACAAAAGTTGTGTGTGGAGGAAATTAGTAACCCGGTTGTAACCAGGGTCCAACTAAATTACAAGTTAATAAAAACAAACAAAAAATGATCTGAAAAATGATCACTGCAACATCAAGCAAGTTTTATTACGATAAGCACGTTTTGTTATTAATCAAGTAGATTACTTCTAAGCAATTACAATTTGCATTTACCTATATATAATGTAACAAAGAACTGTGAGGTAGGCCTACAAAGTACACTGGCTAAGATTGCTCTTAGATGAGCACAACAGGACAAGAAAAAACAGGCAGGCCAAGAGACACGGAGAAGATGATTGGGTAGGGGATGGGCTAACAAATACCATATAGGCTTTGAAAGATATATGAGGAACAGACATAATACTAATTGAATGGCAAGAACAGTGGTTAAGTATTAACACAAGCCTTGATTATTTCAGGTTAAAAAACTAGTTTGCAGATTTTTTTTTTTACCTATTGTGAATGTTTACATCATAAATTGACAATCTTAAAACAAAGTTAATTGAAAGTTAATTGAAGAAAATAAATGTTGCATTTTGGGAATGTATTTTTAAGAGCAAAAATAAATTTTCAAATTTATATGCAAGAATATTTCAGCTTTATTGGTGCTACTCTCCCTCCCCTGTCAAATTTAAAAAATCCTTTATATTTACATAGCACAGATCAACAGATATTTGAGATTCATAATTAATAAACTATGGTCTAAAACAGGAAGATTTTTATAATTATTTCTTCTAGAACACATTCTCAAATTTTAAGTAAAGAGACAAAGAAACAAAAACAGTAGATCACACAGGCTTATTTAATATTTCAACAACAAAAATTTAACATTGTAAATCTGGCTTAATTAGGGCAAACAATTGCAAATCATTTCATAAAATATTTCAAGTCCATCAAAATAAAGACAAACATCTCACACCAACTTCTAGAGATCATATCCAAATAAAAAAATTGTAAAATAAGCAAAGATTACTGTACAGAAAATGCCCAATATTCTGAGTAAAAAATGTTGGTCCCCTTCTGAAGGAAATTCTTTTTTGAAAAGTTTACAAACCCAAGCCAAGATACAGGCAAATTGACTTCCTAAAGGCAAGAAGAAAATGTAAATAGAACTTTAAGGTGATACAAAAAAAAAATTACCTACCGACAGCTAAACAATAGTTAAAATTGTTACTAAATATATTCTAACAATACCTATTTGGAAAATCTATGCCAACATAAAGTGCATGCAAATTCTAACGAAATTGAATCTCAAACAAAAGAAAAGTAAAGAAATCCGTAGATCCAAACATGAGTACAATTAACCCATAACAGAGCCATCACAAAAAAAGCAATAAGACTAATAGACATATAAAAAAACAGGCAAGTTCAAAGTTCAATTCCAATGCCTTGTGTATAAATGCAATGTACTATTACACATGTAAAGTTACAAAAAGCTAGCAAAAATATTACTGCTCAAACATTTGTTCATAAAGTATTTCATTTTCATAATGTAATTTATGTTAATATATCTATGAGAAAATTTGAATGCTGAAATTGAATGAAAATAAAGTGTATAATGATGCCTTTAGCAATAAATATTACCAGTGTATTAAAAATCAGAGATTCTTTGTAAACATGCTCAGCTAGAATAAATAGCAACTTTAAAATGCAATATTTAACAATTTATTGTATTTTATCTTTGAAAATATTTACAACTTTGATGCAACAAAAAATGATTAAGATCACACAAATCATACATAAATAGTAAACAAATCATCTACAGTTAATTTCAAAAACTTCTTTTATACATAGGTAAGACTGTTAGCTTTTGATAAGTCTCATTCTAACGGCATGACTAGGTGTTTACTAGAGCTATATTACTCAAACTACTTGAGTGATTAACACTTAAGCGTTAGTATTAGTACTCAGCAATAAATTATGGAAATGTCTATTATACAGCATGTACAGGAAATTTTTAGAATTCTTAGCACAGAAATAAGTATAAAACAAGATGTGTTGAGCAGTGAAAACAGTTTAGACCAGTGGTTCTTAACCTTTTTGAGGGAACCGAGCCCTACCAGCTTCATATGAGAAATCACTGAACCCTCCCTAATAGGAAAAATTAAAGATAATTATTGAGCTGGGTGTATGAGTCGATTGAATCCAAGTTAAGAACAACTGCTTTTGACTAAGTAAAAGATGTTTAGGGTTCTAACAACATAGATAACTTAACACTGGGTGTAATGTTGAGAAGTGTTAATGGTATGGATTACCTTAAGCCCCATGCTAACCTGAGTTAGTGGTTTAGATAACCATTACACATGAAAAAGGGGACGAAAGTAGATGTGAAAAATGTGTGAAGGTAAATATCACTTAAAACAAAAATTCACGGACAGGTCAGAAATGCTAAGGACACTTATAAGACTTTGAACACAAAATATTACATCTTGGCAAACATTATGCTGATTGCACATTTATATTTCATCAAAATATGAGCACATCTCAAAATTGTTAAATTAGTAAAAAATATAACAATGTCAAATTTACATAAAAAAGAAACTTAGATTTGAAGGTTTAGAAAGTAAACATCTTGTAGTTACTTGTTCTCTTGACAACCAACAGGGCTGATATTCCTGGGCAAAACACTAATACTTTTTGAAAGATGATCCACAATCCACACAGGTAACAGCGGATACAGGCATAGCATTATTTCAGCTCCTGTCTCACAGGAATACCTCTCTCTTGGTCTTTTGGAGAGCAGGCCAGTGCGAATACACCGAATGACAGGGGTCAGATCTGTAGACAGCTTCTCTGTTGATGCTTCGACATTAGTAAACACAGCATCTAAGTACTCTCTTCCATACACCTAATAAAAAAAAAATATATATATACACGTGGAGTCAAATTAAATAGTTTGAAAGTAATATCACTAGCAAAGGTTAAAAAATTACTTAAGGAATAAAAAAATATTTTTTTAAGAATATCTTTTTTTCTTATATTGGCTGGGCAAAAAGTAAACCTCTGAAGTACCATCAGTTTTTTCACTTTCTATGAGCATTCCTATGCCTCAGTAGATAGGTAAGAGAAAATAGATTGGTAAGGGAGAATTTTTTTCTTAATTAGCTCACTGGTTAAGCTGACTTGGTGCTGTTCAGATTGTCAAACAGATGTTACTGCACAAGAACAATAGAGTTCTTTATAAATTAACGATTGACACGGTACTCTTGTTCTCCCTACATCCTACTTGTTAGTCCCTATAAGCGTTAAGTGTTACTTAAAATAAAACTATAACCTTTTTTGTCTGATCATCAAGTGAATCCCAAACATCCTCTTTCTTTTTCAGCAAAATGTCTTCCCTCATGTTTCCTATCAAGTAAAACAGAAAAATTAATTTAAAAAAAAATAAAGCTGACAGACAATACACTAATAATTTTATTTGAAAACAACAAACTATACCTGTATTGTAACCCATAGGTTCTACGACTGAAACATCTACACCCCACTTCTTCATTTCTAAACGTAACGTGTTGGTGTAGGCAACCAGTGCATGCTTTGACATACTGTAGGCCCCATAGCCTTCTAAAGAAACCCTGCCTGTACATTAAAAGTTGGAGAGTCATACAGGCAACAGCAACACATGAATTAAAACTGATGAAATAATGTAAAAAAAAATTTTTAATTACACGATTCTATATGTTTAATTGCTTTCTGTTCCATAAATACATTTTTATGGTTTTTAAAAAATAATTAAAAAAAACAACATCACCAAGTAAATTAAGAAAGTATCCAAAATTATTTTAAATAGCTACTAAAATTGCTTTGTTAGAGCGATGTTAGTACTACTAAAGTCACAATGTTGGAAATTTTTTAAAAATTCAAATGCATAATCTAAGGCTTTATAACCAACTTTATTCATTAAATTTTTAAAGGTGTATTTGTTGATTAGTAAATTACTTTAATTTGTACAAGTATCAATACCAACATTTTAGATTAAACTTTGAAACTTACCAAGAAGACTAGAGACATTGACTACACGTCCATGAGCTTCTTTAATCAATGGCAAGAAAGCTTTTGTCATTCTTACAGCCCCAAACAAGTTAACATCCATAACTTTCTGCAGCACTTTTTCTGATGTCATTTCCAACTCTCCAACATAACAAACCCCAGCATTGTTGACTAGCCCCCACAAACCTAACAAAAAAGAAAATTAATCAGTAAACATTTCAGGTAAGCAAACAAATTTTTGTGTGGGAAAACACCACACCCTAAATCAGATATTTACGCAGCACTTTAATGCCCAAATCTTTAATACTGGCCTTTCATTGTTTTAAAGTTTTTCCTAGGTTCTAGTTTACATAATTAATAATGTGCAAATGACTAATTCTGGCATTGGATAATCTATGGTAAGATATAACTTTATATTTCATTAAAAAAAAACAACAGATGTTACCTTCTTTTACTTGAGAGCTGACATAAGTTAGAGCAGAATCAATTTCCTTTTGATTTGTAATGTCAAGCTTTATAATCTGTAACCTGAAATTTTACAAAGATAGAAAAACAATTGTATCTTTATTTTTAAAAATGGAGTAACAGCAGGTTTATTTTGAGAGTTTTATTTAATAGTTTTTACAGCCATACAGTTTTCAAAATTAACAAGATAACTGAAAAATATCTGACTGCTCCTTATTCTTTAGCAAGTTCCTTTCATTGTTCAACCTCTTGATTTCAATAAAGATAGGTATACACCATTATCCTCAATTTTAATAGCAGATGGACTGTGTATTTGGTGTTTAAGTTGAAGGTAGAATTTCTAGTTAAGTAAAAGTGTGTGTAGGTAGCATAATAAAAAAGCTCAAATAAGAGAAATGCAATGGCATGTATATGTATCTCAGAAACAGTAATTTAACTGAGTGCTTGGTCTAAGCAGATAAATTTATCAAAAGAATGCATTTACATCACTGGAAAAACATTTTCAAATTTACTCCTATTTACCTGCTAGAGCATTTGTTTTTCAACTCCAATGCACCAGGTCCATGATCCTCTAAGCATCCTGCAAAAACTTGCATTCCAATGCTGTCAAGTTTAAGAGCTAAGGCATGACCAAAGCCACTGTCACAACCTATGGTGATTAAATTGTGTAATGCAAATTATTTTTATGGAAGAAAATCTGACAAAACTAAACATTTGTATCTACATTAAATAAAACAATGTTCGTTCTATTGATTGCAAATTACTTATCCCCACACATTTCAATAACTAGTTTGCAATCAATTATACTACTTGGATGAATTACTCAAATTACTGAAAATTTAAAAAAAAAATTGCATAAAAAACATTTTAATAATAAGCTTTTATGTAATAATGCACTCAAAAGGAGAAAAAAAAATAATACACTAAAAAACTATTTAAATTAATGTCATATTGCACTGTCTTCAAGTCTTGACCCATGTGCCAACTTTGAAAAGAATCTGTCAGAAGTGCCCAAAATTTTGCTCACCCTTTCTGATCTATGATGACAGATAGACAGTCAACAGAGGAAGCTAGTTAAATAAAAGCTTGTAAAAAAAGGATGACACCACACTACTAACACTACCAGTCATAGCTAAGGCAGAAATTTTGAAACTTTTACCATTTAAACGCACAAGTGTCATATATATTCTTAAGTTCTAAACTGTCATATGCCCCTCTATCTTTAATCTTTATTCTACATCATGACAAATCAATGAGTAGGATAAAAAGAGACCACCATGGGTTGTTCTGGTAGGGATCCAAAGGGTCAACTCTAAATGACTAAATGTAACCTATCTTCATATTTCCTTGGGGTTAATATAAGTTATTAATTAGGCCTAATGCTCTTATAGATCTAGATCTTTATAGTTATAGTATATATTATGTCTATACTCTATACTATACTATACTGTGAGTGTGAATGTAAATTGTAAAGGAAAGGTATGCGTCTAAGCATCTATTTATTAAAATAAGCCTATTTTTTCTAATACTAGATCTAGTAGATCTATGTCTAGCAGTCCACTAATAAGTCTATTTAATTTAATTTAGGCCTAATGTCTATTTAATTACTTAGGCCTAATTGACTAGATTCTAGATCTAATAATTGTATTTATTAGTATTTAATTTATTTAAAATTAATCTCATTCTAAACTCACACACTCTCACCTGTTATAAGAACTGATTTATTTTGAGCCGGCAAGTGGCTTGCAGGGAGTATGGAGTATATAACTAAACACAGCAATGTGAAAACAGCAAGTCCACTTGGACCTTTCACTAAAAATTGACAAAGTGGTTCACCCAAGAATAGAATAACAAGTGTGAGAAATGAGCGAAACCCAAATCGAAATTCATTTGTTAAGAACTTTGAAAGAACAGCCATTGCAAAGGCAACTGTAACAGTAGAATACAAAACTGAGTAAAAGACAATGTCATCTCTGTTGATCTCATCTTCAATATCAAATTCCATACTTAAGAATGACAGAAAATAGTGAAGTAACTGGGAGATCTAGACTCTAAATTGTAGCTCGCAAAATGACAGTAATTTCGGTGAACACTATCTCACATGTCCGCCATGAACAAACAATGTTTAGGCTTGGCCTAGTTGCGAAGAAAATAAACAATAGCTTACTTTCATTGGCTAACAAATAAGTACGAATTCTAACAACTTATCTCATTGGATAGAATCTCTGAAGGAAAATATTAAAAATTTTGGAATCAAAATGGCGACCCCCATACACCGATTTTTGGGTCTCAGCTGTTTAACTTGCCTCTACGTCATATTAATCGCGGGGGTTATGGTAAAGCCATATGTGATTTTAAAAATTATAATTAAGCCCTATACTGAATATTTTCAAATCTGTTTCACTATACATTAAGTTGCCTGTGTAGATTGTATGATAATTAGATTTCCATCCATGATTCAATCATCAACTTGACAACTTGAACTTTCATTGACTTTCATTTTCAATTCAATATTCAATAACTCATTGACAGTGACCTAACTTTCACACATTTTTACTTTCTCTTATACAAAGTATAGAGGAGGAGGTATTGTAATCGTGCAAAAAAACAAAAAAAAACAACAGATTTTCACAGATCTCGACATTTTACACCTCCCTGAGTTGGAAAAACATTGTTTTTCAATTATTATTTATGTCTGTGTGTGTGTGCATGATAGTATAATAATGCATAGTAGTGTAAGTGTATGTTTATGACAGTTTTCATTGTTTAACACCACAGTACTTCATCATATATGGAGTACAAGGGACTTTGTTTAATCTAGCTAGATAGACTACTGTACTATGTCTATGACTTGTTATTTATTAGTTTTTCTCACTAAATCTAGAATTTACGCAATTATCAATTTAAACATGACCACTGAATAATAGACATCCATATTTAATCCATTAGGCACTAACTTTGGAGTTTTTAGTTCTTTTTAAACTAAATTACTTAATTTAATATTTATTGTCAATCACTGCCATGTCCAACACATCTCTCCATGACAACTCTTCTAACCCTTGAAGGTAAAGAAAACCACAAATCAGGTTAGACTTTTTAAGTGGCCATGCACAAGAGTTCCTCGCTAGTGATCTCCAAATAGTGGTCACGTGGTTTATTTTTCAAAAAAAATTTGGTTGTCATTTTTGGAGCTGGTGTTATAAAAAAAGTGTTGACGATATTTGATTTATTTTTTCATAGACTGATAAAACTAATAATGCTTTACTATGGAAATCAATTTTGTAATATGGAAATCGATATTTAAAAAGTTCTAGTATTTTTGATGAAACCAACTTTTAAATTTAGCCTTCATTCTCCAACGCAAATTTTAAAATGCTTTTCTGGCATATATAGCCCTGCCACCTATAGCTTGTTGTTATAACGTGAAAGTCCCGCCATTTTGCGCGTGGTAAACATTTTAAAAACTAATTAGTAGAAGGTCTCTAGAATTTGGCCGAAAAATCGTCGCAAGTCAAGCGTCCGGTCAGGGCGCCATATTGTTGTTAGCAACCGGCCACGCCTCCGGGTTAGCGAGAAATACTATTATTTATTAACCATATGTAACCATTTCTACCACCTAGTCCTACAAGTCGCAATGAAAGATATTTTGGAAAAAATTTCCTAATTATATAGGCCTAGTAATTAAATTATCACAGTATCATGAGTATGATAAAATATACATAGTACATAGATCTACTATAATCTTATAGAATTATCTGGCATTTAATAAAACACAATGATCATCACTATAGCCCAGTAGCAATTTTTAAAGAATTTTCTATGTTTGTGTATCCCTGGTCTGACCCTAATTTGAAAATTTCTAACTCAACATTCATCAATTATTTTTTAAAAACATGTTAATTAAAGTCAGTTGAAGTTTAAATAATTTTACTTTTAAAATGTAATTTGTAATGTAGGTTTCTTAATTTCTCTCTTTTAATACATCCTCAAATGAGTCCTAAAAGTTTAAACAACCCAGCCATGAAATTGTTTCCATTAGAAAATTGTTAGACACTTATTGTTAATTTATTCTTATAATTGAAATAATTTGCTTCGTTACAATTTCTCACTTTTCAGACTGATGATGAATTTGAAGGATCAAGAACATTAGTGTTGGAACACTCATTTCAATCTGGTAATTTATATTTGTTGCTTACGTTATATAACTTTTTAATACCTATAACCTATCTGTATTTTAGCTTCAGTAAGACCTCTGGATTTTTATTTATCAGTTTCATGTTTCTTTAATTTTCCATAGGGAAAGCACAGTTTACTAAAAGGGGCACCATCATAATTCAGTCTTTAAAAGGCAACAAGGCACAATTCACAGCTGGATCTTCTCTCTCGCAATCTGAAATCCAGCAGCTTAAGGTAGGATTTTGTTAAATTCTTAACCAATTTAGACATTGAAATATTAACGGCACTAGATAAACTTGTACGCTGAGTTCGCCCTGCTGTATATGGCACATTTGGGGTTTGATCCTCTGGTTGAATGGTTTACTCCATAACTATGGAGTCATCTTTTCTTGTTTGTGCCCAAGATAAATTAGGTTTCAGCTGTTTCAATTAGGGGTCGTTGTGTGGTCGAGTAAGTAAAGCTCATGTTTGCTTAACCAAAAAGTCTCAAGTTCAAACCCTTGGGCAGATGAGGCTCAATAGCTGGGGACAGCAACTCTTCTAGGAGAGACAACTCCAAAATCAAACAACTGCTGCCTTGTAGTTTGTTCTTGGTTGGACAAAGGGGGAAATGGAAGCAAATCCAAAAAGAAAAGCAGGCTGAAATCGGTGTTAACGGCCTATTTAGAGCACAAGTTGACATGTAATATATAATTGTGTTGGAGGGAAATTCCTTCCAACATTAAAAATTACGAACAAAGGAGAAAAAGCTGTGTCACTGACCTCGACATTCAGAATGAGTTTCCCTAAAGTGAGTCATATCTGGGTGGACTCAAGAACATCCTGTAGTCTCAAACTCAAGCTCAGAAACAGAACACGAGACTATTTGGGTTAACAGAGTTCTACCATACTGTTTCTATACAGTTAAGAAAGTAATTGAAAAAAGTGAGAGAAAAAAATTAGTATTTGAAATATGATTTTTACACTTCTACATAGCTACTACCCTCTACTAAATAGTCCTCTTTTCATCAGTTGACAATTTACACCAATATAATATTGATACTTATATAAATATAATTACAATGATAACATAAACTAAACTTTTATTGTGAAAGAAATTTTAAACGTTAGATCTATTCTAGTTAAATTTTAGTTAATTACTTTATCTATAGAGGAATGTTACATAAAATTTTTCATGTTCCATATACAATTTATATGAATACATTTATGTAGCCTTATTTTGTTTTTATTAAATGTTATTGCAGTCCTTGGCAAAGGGAAATGGTTTGTACAAAATCAGGATTCCAACCAAAACAGCTGGAGAGACAAACCTTGCATTTGTATCTTCTGTCACCAAAGCTGTAAGTAAAGATTATACTCAAAACTTTTTATCATCGTGACTCCCTTAAAAAGGCAATATATTAGCTTCCCACCCTCTGTTATCACTTTAGTAAGATATTGATATATGTAGCTTTTGTATCCAAACTTTTTAATTTTTTTAGTTTTAATAATAGTCCTTATTGGTTTAAACTTCAATGGTGCAAAAAGTCAGTTATGATGGAAAGAACATAAGCTGGAAATCACAGAAACATTTTATACTGTTTAAAATGTATCTATAGCTGTTACTTTTTTTTTATTAAGATAGCCACAATTTCTGTAAAGCTTTGTTTGCCTTTTTAGCGGCTAAGCCTCCATAGCCTTCCAGTTGAATTTGCTTCTCTAATTAAACTGTTTTTTTTTCCAGGAAGATTCTTTTTACAATGTTGAAATGCTCTGTCTGATATAATACAAATTGTCATTTTTTTTTCTTTCTAGTGCAGCATTGTAGAATCTGGGCTTGAAGATGAAATCACTGTACATTTTGACCAGTCAGGAGAAGTGCTGGGTGTGAGTATACGAGCGCTCATCCCCGCCTGCTCAGGTCTTGAAATGCCTGATGCTAATTTAACATCATGGAGAACAAATGTGGAGGTGTCTACAACAGTTTCAGGACCCTCGTAAGTGTATTTATATCTATTTAAAGTAAAAGCTGTAGTGTTGTTTTCATGGTAATCAAGTTACCCTTTTGAAGCTGACTGTCCATGGGGAAAGTGAAGTTTACCTGTTTCTCTGACCTCGGCATATGAAGAGATAATGTGGTCAGCACTATGGCAAACATGCATTATCAAATGAAACTGTCAATTTTTTTTATTGATTATTTTAGAAAATTAAAAATAAAATATTGTTACAGAAATAGTGGACACATTATTTTTTTCCAGACCTGACACCCAGACATATATTGAGAAATTAAAGAGAGATGAACAAGAGAAAATGAAAAATCAGGATGGAGATAGTCGTTCTTTTCTTGGCAAATATGTGAGTATTGCTCTTGTGTGTTTTCTATTTCCTTGCATCAAGAACATATGTTTAAAAAATTCATGTCTATAGTTCTACTCAAAATTGATGTCTTATTCTCTCTTGTATTAAATTAGAAAATAATTCTCTGTGGGTTTTTTTTTCAACTTATCATTCCCTTTGATTTAAGACAAGTTTAAAAATAACTACAGTAGTTCCAACAAAAGTAATCCTCAAGCTGAACATGTTCACATTTATTCCACTGTACAATGTCCAAATAAAAGGGAAAGAATTTTAATTTTTAGTTTAGATTTTTCTTACTTATTAGTTCCCCTACTTTGCAAATTTTCAAAATTAACTTCTTAATTAAATGTTAAAAGTGATTTTTAGTAAATTAAAACGTATATCTTTCTATAAAGCTTAGACCAGTTTTTGTTCTTCCTCATCCAATCTTTGAATTAGGCTTCTCGCTCTATGTTTTTTGTTTTGAATTTGTATTTGATATATACAAAAGTTTTGGCCTCATTCAACTTCATAAATTTCTTGGTATCCAAATTATAATGTGATTTATTTGTTTCTACTATTGTGGTCTATCTGCACTTCAGTTAAAATATGATCCAATATTACCTGGTATTGTGTAGTTAAGAGGTAGATCACACAATTACTAAGACATCTCTCAAACAATGCAAACTGTGATGAGTATTAGATTCTAATCAGTAAAAGAAAAGCAGAATAGTGCTACTTCCAAATCTATTCATATGCAAACCACATACATCTGGTCAGACCCTAACAACAACTTGATCAGACAACATAATTTACTAAATGATCATCTTGTCTTCTACTTATCTTATTATATTTGATTAGTAGATTCAAACTATTATATTTGATCTTTTTTAGGAAAGTATTTTTTTTCATTATATCTGATTAGTAGACACCAAACTAATATATTTCTTCTTTTATTTGAAGGTATTTTTAAAACATGCATTTCAGCTGTCCCTAAACTAATAACTGATATTAATTAACTTTCTACTTCTGTTTTTGTATTTAGCCAAACCTCTGTTTGCATTGTCTTTATTTAAATATTTTAACCCCCAGTTTTTCATTTCATTATACACCCACATTTTAAAGTCTGACATTTCATGCTGGTTTATTACCAGAGGAACTGCAGTTCTAATTGTATGTTTTACTTCAATTTCCTACTGTCTGTCTGTTTTCTATAATTGTATTACCATCATGAAAGGCTGAAAAACCTAAATCAATAATGGGGAAGTAAAAATGTCACTGGCTGTCTGTTTAAACCATCTTTCTAAACAGTCTTGGGGTTTTATCTTTAGTTAACACTTAACGTTCTTTAGGTTTTGCTTGTTTAATGAAATGTAATTTTTTTTCAACTTCTGTCTTTATCTTTACTTTACTGTAGTTGTGTGTTCCCCCTCATCCTCCTCTCTTCCCCCCCCCCCCCCCCCATGGTTTTGTTAAATGGCATCACAAACAGCAGCCAGAATCTCCATACCTTGTCTAAATTGTCTGTATTGAATAATAATCTTTTTATTTTATGTTGGTTAAAAGTTAAATTTGAAATTATTTTTTTTTTAATGCCCACCTTCACATATCATATCCTCTCATTTAATGCCCAACCCCCCCACCCCCCCCCCCCCATCCCCCCCACCCTACCTCCTACATTTATATTTATGTATGACATTTCATAAACATCTCTTATCATTACTTTGGTTACAGTTTCGTTCATTTTGTATTTAATGAGATCATTTCTGGAAAAAAACAAAAAAGGAAACAGACACCAGTAACAAAATATCTTTCAAAATACTCAGGTGTCTGACTTAAGTAGAATATGGTTTTCTTTTCATCGTTTAAAAAAAAGTTATTTAAAAATTACTTAAACTAACGTCATTGTGTTAATTATTTATGACCTCTTTAAAGTATAATAAACTGACGGCATTTATATACAAAGTCCCATTGCCTAGACTAGAACATTTTTGATGTTGGTCAAGCCCATATTTATGCTGGGGTCTGAATGTTATATCGTTCATTCATATGTAGAACATCTTCATCAAAACAAAATATCTTGTTGTATGGTTTAGTTAAAATTTGCTTTAATGCAACATGATCTGCCTTTTCTTTTATTGCCTAAGAAAACCAACTCACTTTAAATGGTTTGTTGTACCTTGAGTTATCGTATTGTATTCTATTTGCGTAAGCAATCTATCTTCTATCTTCTTCTATATATATAATTCTCTTCATGGGGACCATACGAGACACCACGCAGATTAGCCACCACCACCATCCCCACCTGTCAGGTGAGCTATGGTTCACCCTGAATGTTTACAATAGTAGAGCCGGTTCGAATAAGTGACGGCTATTAGGGGCAGATAATTTAGTTTTTAAACTAAGGGGAGATAAGTTCTGCTTGCTATTTTCATTGTCGTCTGTAAACGGCTGCTTTCACTGGGTGGGGTGGGAAGTGGGGGAGGCAGGGGGTGGGGTAGTGTCGAATTCACAAATTATGAATTGTTGATAAGTAGAAAATAAAACAACTAGATAGCGGCGTATGCTACGTCGCGGGTCAGCTCGTATTCAGTATTAATTATGGGCGCCCACAAATTGCTTCTTAGCAGGGCGATAACTCTGCTATTAACAAGTTGATGATGCTTTGGAGTACCAGAGAATTCACTTAATTAAATACTTTTTTAAAAAGACCAGTTAATTAGCAAGATCATTACCAGTAGAGCTATAGCATTGATTCTAAACGGAGTCACTAGACAGCACGCCACCCCTGACCTACAGTTGTGACCCGTGTCTTGCACTAACCGTATCCTTGCTATAACATCCTGACATATGCAACATCTCTTCGTTTGAAACAGAGTATAAAAAAATTCTGGGCAATCATTCAAGCACGGGCATACATAATCTCACCCCGACCCCGGGAGTTCAGTAGCACTGACGACGATAAACTGTTTCTCTGGCGCTAATCGGAATTTAAGAAGAGACAAACGATGTAAATGATCAATTCATCCCGACCACGATCTCTTGGTCACGTACACACGCGCGTTAAAGCGCGCGTTGCGCTTATTCATTGATGGAAACATAAAGGGGTCATTCCACTCCCGGAAAGAGCCCATCGGGGTCACCGAAAGAGTTTACCGTCCGCTATTTTGTTTAAGATTGATGTGAGTTTTTTGTTCGACCTACTTCATGTTTTTTTTTCTTTCTGTATTTTCTTGTCACATTTGTTTTGCGAAGATGGGGTAATTAGTAGGTTTCTCGTTTTGCTTCGTCTTTAATTACTAGCATATTGTGAAGCTCTAGATGTGAAATGTTCTGGTTAAACTAAGCCTGTCAAACGCGTCAATACGTAATTCAATTGTACGTCATTACCTAGACTAGACAAGAAAAAAAAATGTTTCAAGGTAGATTTCTAATTTGTTTCCTTAAACTATTTATTTATGAGCTTGTTCGGCATTCTTAAAAAATAGAAACAGGTCGCTTTCTGGATCTTGTTTTTTTTTTTCCTTTTACTCTTAGATCTAGACCTAGATCTAGATCTAAATCTTGATTAATAAAGCGAATACGTTTTAAATTAAATCGCACGTTTTAATTTTTTTAAATTTGTGTGTTATATAATATAATATGCGCGTAATCCTTACTCATTTATTCAAATGTCTAAAGTTATCAACCCACAGATTTACGTGAAATTTTATTACAAAAATTAGGTATCCTCCCACATTTCGATATTCCTTAAATGAGAATGATTTTTAAAAATTGTATTTTAATTTAAAATATAATGGAATTTTTAATTAGTCACTCAACACCAAGATCTAGATCTGGTTATTTTGTATTAAACCGACACCCCACGTATTAAAAAAAAATGAACATGATATTTATTTTTAAATTACTTTTAAAATTTCAATAATAAAAACGTTGATTGTATATAAATAAAATTTTGCGTGTGCTATTCGTTTAAGAAAAATTATATTTTAAAAAATGTGCCCCATTTATTAAAAATATTATAAATAATAGAAAAAAAGTGTTTTAATTATTACAAAAAGAAATACCTCCTTTTAAAGTTGGGACATAATTTCAATCGTGGATCCAGGCAACATTAGTTGAATTACTGAGCTTCTTATTTCTACATCTACGAAAGTTAATTTTCAAAGACTTCAATCGCTGGAAGAAGAAATCGACACTTCTTTTTCCCCCTTTTTTCTAGAACTCGTAGCAAGACTCATTAAAACTTGTTGAGTATTTGATATTTGTGTCGAGTACAATTTATTCGTTCCGTCTGTTGCCGCTGGCCACTTAAAAGCACAGCTTTGATGCTGATAATTTTGCTGGTAGAAAAATATGACAAAGAACTAAGTGTACTTGAGCCAGTGACTAAGGTAGAGAAAGTTGGTCAACTAGACCCCCCTGGAGCCATCGCTATTTATTTATATTTATTAATTTTAACTAACCGACTTTTTTAACAACCGACTTCAGCACTCGCACGCACGTGTCCCCTCGCCGTCACGCGCATCCACACACTCACATAAACCACCATAGGAAGAGATTCCCCCAGAAAGAAAATGTCGGCCTTGAATTAGCGTGTCCAGTGTTTCTCACACTATACCCCGATAGGACACATTCTTCTCATCTCCCCTGACTTTGCGATG